TTTTTTTTTACAATTTCAGGGATTATTCATGTGGCTCAAAATTCTTCCCACTGTGTCTCTACAGCGGATGAGCAAATGGCATGGAAAGCGTACAATAAAAATGTTTAAATAGTAATAATAATAAAAATTTAGATTAAAAAGAAGAAAATCATACTAACATCAAGAGAATAAAAAACGAATATGTATAAGAAACTAAATTTTACTTTTGTCTTGTAAGCTTTCTTTCAACATATTAGTGGTTAATAAAGGATTCAATTATATGTACTCTTCTTTATTTCCTTTTTGTCTTTTGCCAGTTCACCACACACACAATTCATGTAACATGTAGCAGTATTTTCTACATGTACCAAATCATGCCTTAGAGTTATCAGGATGGAGTTAAATATACAACTATATTGAGACAAATGGTTTCTCTTATGATTTCAATATATTTGCATATCTACTTTACTCCCTTTTTAGTGATGTTCTTTGAACTTCAGGCGTTTTATACCATCTTAACGAAATCGATAAATGTGATTTGATTTGAGGATGTAAAATGTAAATAACATCAGAATATTGACAAAAACTAGTTGTCTAATGAAACGAATTGTCATACAAGTAGAAATGAAAGAAACTTCACACAAATAAGGATTTAAATAAGATGCTGAAAAAAAATAAGGACGCAAGAATAATATCATCTTAACTCCACTCAAATAAATTCAATATCATACAACAAAAAGCGAAATGCAAGTACAAAGAGTATCTGAGCTCCTCACAGTGATAGACTGATAACATGCAACTAAGACCAGAATTAAATATGAATTCTACAAATAATTGATAATGAATCAATGGTAACAATAAATGAGTATATAACATGCGCCAAATATGAGGAAAACATAAGGCCTAAATCACCTGGTATCCGCATGAATAAAAAAATAATAATAATAATAATAAAGTTCAGCCTTATTTATATAAAACAAGAACAGAATACCTTTCAGTATTAAAGAAAAAAATTGGTGATACCAAATATAGATGTTATGACCTTTTAAAAAAAAATTGTGTCCCAAATTGTTTAGGAGCAAAGTTCAACTTGTTTTGTGTTAAGTTTTATGAGAAAATAAATCCTTGTGGTTTCAGTTTAAAGTTTACTTCATAAGGCTTAAGTTTTAAAAAGATGAAAAAATCTGATCTAACGCAAAGAAAATCGAGTGCGTAAATTTAGTCAGTCTAAAAAAAAGGTCCCAATTTTAAGCAACAACAGGCGGAAAACTGTCTATTCTGTATGATTTGTGTGTGTGTGTGTATGTGTGTGTTTAATCTTAGGCAAGTGACACGTGGCACAGGGATTTAAGACCAAGGTTGTCACGTGGTGCGTATCACTCAGTATACAAGATGGCATTATCAGAAGTTGACGATGTAAGGAAAATATTCAGAAAATTCTGACACTGAGAGTAGTTCTGTTGTGCTGAGGTGATCATACAAACGTTTGTATTTCCCCTCAGTTTGTAAAAATGCTATGTTGATTGGTTCATTGTCTGGAAGAGGCATAGTTGCACGCAGCATTATTTCCTCTTGCAAGACTCCGCGTGGTTACCCTCTCATCCGAAGCCTCGCTCACTGGGCGAAGAAGCCGGGTCATCAAATGTGTTTGGCGGAAACTATTCCATGTATGCCATACATCCAAAAAATGTCCTTTTTATATCATACGTTATATGATTTTAATATTTTTATATGAACTTGGCTGATAACAACTTTGGATGTAAACACTCCATTAAAATTTGACACACTGTCCGAGATGGCACGCTGAAAAAAACGGGTGTCCAACCTTGGCGTGGCACGCAGGTCGCGCGTGGCAAATGCGGCGTGCCATGCCACTTCTACGTGAAACGTTTCATGTTTCCATATGTCCCTTTTTCAAGTGTCACATGGCATGCCGCGTGCTACGTGCTACCTTGGTGTGAAAGCGTCCTTCCCTCCTCGTCTTGCTTGTGTGGCTGTGACTTTTCGTTTGCGCTTCCGGTCGTTCTGTGTAGCAATTGTGGTGTTGGAGATATAGTAGCAGGGTGCGGCAGATTAAGACCACTTTATTCATTTATTTCAGCTTTTTAATATGTGTCACTCGTGCAGATGCTTAGCTTCTCATACCGAGAACCACTTTTTTACCGTTGTTGGCAAGGAGCTTACGACGCGCGTCAGACACACACTCACACAGATCTCGAAAAGTTAAAATGTAATTTTATTTCTTATTGTGGCTGTTTTCCTATATATATACACAGAGATACACACACACTCATATATACACATATGTATGTATATATACATACATATGTATATATATGTATATGTAAACAAATGAGTTGTCATTTTTTTTATTGTATTGGTTTTCATTCAAGTTATGGAGAGACTTAGTAATGCATTTTATACGCATCGTCTGATTACAATAACGACATCTTTTTTATATTATTATCATCGTTCTTTTATGAGCATTTATTATTACTTTTTGTTGCTGTTATCATCATCATCATCACCATCACTATCATCATCATCACCATCACTATCATCATCATCACCATCACTATCATCATCATCACCATCACTATCATCATCATCATCACCACCATCATCATCATCATTATTACTATCATTATCACCGCCAATATTCAACGTTATTCATCACTATCCCCACAGCATTGATGGAAAAACCACAGGTGAAGTTCATATCACATGTACCGTATGCAATTTCCCCTGTCTTTCCCATCCTATCTTTTGATTAACAAATGAAATAAGTCACCATTGACTTACATGTCCAGAGACAAAAAAAAATATATATATATATCTGATAAGCACATTGATTGATATGTATTGTTGAAACAAATGATTATGCAGATAATTAGCGTGTCCACGTATGTCACTTCAAATTCGTACGAACTTGTTCTAAGTTGTGAGAATCAACACAAGTGTTGCACGCAATACATATTTCACAGTGCAAGCAGATGGCCGAGTTACCTGGAATCGAAACGAGTTGGAAGCGAACACTGACTCCTACCATCATGGAATCGAACCAAGCTGGAGTCAAACCAACTTGACTCTGGATTCGGAAGTTTGTCCCGGAGGCTATTCCCCTGTGGGCGACAAATGCCTCATGTTTATGACCTTTATTACTCAACCATTTGGGGAAGCGAAGCAGTTCTGCCATGCAGCCAAGGGGGAGCTGGCTGCCATCACCACGGCCACGGACTTCAAGACTTTAGTCGATTACATCCATGCCAACGGTGGGAACAACATCAGCGATCGTACTTTTCCATAATGTATTGGGTATAAATTCTGGAATACGGTCGATCGTTGCGGTGCTGAATCGGCCGTTTTATTTTTATCCGCTAAGTATTTATTATTGTAATGGAATCTTATTGTCTTTATTACTCTAGGTTCATTATATTCATCATTGTCATCTGTTCCGCTAAACTGAGCTAATATAATAATCTTAATTATTCTATAGATTTCACCAGCGGAGATTTCTGGCTGG